GGAAATAGAATGTTACTCATCTACCAAAAGAAAAGCATAATTGCAATGCGGTACTCTTCTTTGTTAGAAGATTTTCAGGAACCCATCTGTGCAGATTGTTTCTTTTTTATTATCATTACATCCACTAATTACATTAAGGGGGGAGAAGGGGCATTTTAATTAAGAGACTGTTTTAAGGAGATATAATTCTACGCTTTCATTAAATAATTCTGTGCCAAATTTGTTATAGTATATTGCTGAAAATTGTTGTTTGGTATTTATTTCTATTATTAATTTAACAAATCAAAGTTTTCCTTTTTGTTTCTCCTATACACAGATATTTTTATATCCTGTATCTCCATTTAGAACAAATGACCATAGTATAAGAACATATGTAAACCATTCCATTATTTTGGGTCTTCCTTTTTTCCTAAAAAAAAAATAAGTTTTTTTTTTTAATAAAAATACATTTACTGATGTATGATACATTTAAGGTAGCACTGTAGCACTATCCTCCTTTTGTTCATCAATTTGCTTGAGTGGGCACCAGTGATGTCTCCATTGTGAGACTTGCTGTTACTGTTTTTGGCACATCGAATATGCCATGGGGAGCTTACCAGGCTCTGCAGATCCTATCAAGTACAGTCTTTAAAAAATAGCTTTTCGATATTACTCTCTAGAGAAACTGGAAACTGATGTTCATAAGTGACAGCAGGAATATACATGCATGAAGAAAATAAGTGACTCAGTGGACTATGCATATGAGTTTGTAAAATTGGAAAATACTGGCAGTACTTATGCTTAGGATCAATGCTTTAAGTAACAATTGATAGTTTATCCTTCACAATTAAAAAAATTGAAATAGAGGTTTTTCAATTCAAAATTTCTGGGCTAATCAGTAATGACCTCCTTTACTTGGATAATAAATTAATCTCTCATAATTTTGTCATTGTTAGATTTTTAGTCTGAATCAATATCTAAATAATTTTAAGAGCATATTTATTAACCAGGACACTTTACAATAACCTTATTCTTGCTAAATTACTCAAAATAGTAACGATCATAACAGTCACTTAAATGAAGTTAATTTATTTCAATATCTGTTTTGAGTTAATACATAGCAGTGGCTTTTTCATTTATATGTACATGATTGTCCCTTATAAAAAGGTAAAAACAAAGCTAAGAGATATAAAATGCTTTGCATAGAGTTCAACGGATCATAGATTTTTGAATCAAGATTTAAAACCAACACCCAACAGTGTTCAGGACTTATTTCTGGTTCTGGAATTAGTGATCATTCCTGGCAGGTTTTGGGGGAATATATCGGCTACAGGGGATTTAACCTGAATTGGTGGCATTGCAAGGCAGGTACCCTATCCACTGTACTATCGCTCTGGCCCTATTGTGGATTTGGCAATGACTAAATCTAACATAACTTACAATTATGTAAATTTTATGGGACATTCTGAAATGGAATGTACATAAAGCATATTTATGGATTTATATAAGATAAGATAAGATAAGGTAAGATAAAGGCCCTCCCGTTGATCATCAATTTGCTCGAGCGGGCCCAGTAACGTCTCCATTGGAGACTTTGTTGTTACTGTGTCTGGCATATCGAATACTCTCGGTAGCTTGCCGGGCTCTCCGAGAGGGGCGGAGGAATCGAACTCGAGTCGGCCATGTTGGCTGCGTGCAAGGCAAACGCCCTACCGCTGTGCTATCGCTATATGTATTTTAAATTTTCATGTCTTATTAAAGGATGAAAATACTGAAAATGGTCACAAATTTAGTTGTTAACTATATTGCAATATATTAAATTTGACATAGATTATAGTGTAAGAATACCTATTGTATATTTAAAACCAGAATAAAAAATATCAAGTTCCATTTTCATAGATATTTGCTATTTTAATACACAGTCATTTCTTAGCTATACTTAAATGTATTTTAATTTAAAGTAAAAGCAAGAGACAGTTCAGATAACTATTTACAAACATTTTTATTTATTGTTGTCTGTCATAATACATCATCGCCTAAAGTTACTTGTTCAGAGAATGTAAAAATAGAGATAAATATAGAAATGAGCTGTGCAAAGAGGCAGGTAATAACCAAGAGTAGGGAGAGGCAAAAATAAAATCACTTAATTTGTTCCAATCTAGGAGATAATTGAATGATCTTTTATTCTTATCATTGTCTTTTATATACTGGATCTTTTGTATCACTTCTTTTTTTTTGTTTTTTTAATTATTAATTAACCCTGAGATATAGTTACAAGCTTTCATGTTTGAGTTACAATCACACAGTGATCAAACACCAATCCCTCCACCAGTGCACATTCCTCACCACTAATATACCCAATATACCCCTACCTTTCCCACCCTCCCACTGCCTCCATGGAAGACAATATCCCCCATACTCTCTCTCTCTACTTTTGGGCATTGTGGTTTTGCAATGCAGAGAATGAGAGGTTATCATGTTTGGTCCTTTATCTACTTTCTGCACACCTCTCGCATCCCAACCAAGTCCTCCAACCATCATTTTCTTAGTGATCCCTTATCTATTCCAGCTGTTCTCTCCCCACCTGCTCATGAGGCAGGCTTCCAACTATGGAGCAATCTTCCTGACCTTTATCTACTGTCCTTGGGTGTTGGCCTCATGTTATGTTATTTTATACTCCACAAATGAGTGCAGTCCTTCTATATCTTCCCACTATGACTCATTTCACATAGCATGATACTCTCCATGTCTATCTACTTATAAGCAAATTTCATGACTTCATCTCTCCTAACAGCTGCATAATATTCCATTGTGTAAATGTACCAAAGTTTTTTAACCAGTCGTCTGTTCCCGGGCACTTGGGTTGTTTCCAGATTTTTGGCTATTGTGAACAGTGCTGCAATTAACATATAGGTACAAATGTCATTTCTAGTGTGTTTTTTTGCACCGTTGGGATATATTCCCAGAAATGGTATTATGGGGTCATATGGAAGCTCAGTTTCTAGTTTTTGAAGGACTGACCATATTGTTTTCCAGAAAGGCTGGACCAGTAGGCGTTGTATCACTACTTAAGAGGTTTTTGTTACTTGAAGTTTCTATAAAGGAATTGGGACTGGAGAGATAGTACAGCAAATTGGGCTTTTGCCTTGCATGCATGATCTGGGTTGAATCTTCAGTATCCCATATGGCTTATGAGAACTGCCAGAAGTAATTTCCTGAATGCAGAGCCATGAGTAACTTCTGAGCATTGCCAGGTGTAGCACAAAAAAAAAAACAAAATAAAAAAGTGAAGAATTTTAATAATAAAAAGAAACTATTAAATGACCTGTCCCTTAGTTTAAACTGCATAGTAAGACTGGAAGATTAGTACAATGTGCAAGGTGCTTACCCTATATATGGCCAGCCCATATAGATCTCTGAATTCTGCCAGAATTGATGCCTGAGCACAAAGCCAGGAGTAAACCCAGAGCACTGCCAGGCATGACCCCAAACACAATACTTCTATGTTCTGTTGCAATGTAATGCTAATCTATTTTCTGAAGCATAAATTTGTGTGTTTCTCAAGAGTATTTTTGCTTTATAACTTTGGTTATATTTATTTTTGATGGTATTATTATGCAAAGAAAGCAATGCAAATGAAAATTTTTATTTATAATGAACTTAATTATTCTTAGGGCATATTTTATTTCAGAAAGCTTAGCTTTTTTTGTTTTTCCTGGATTTTTTATGTTTATTTTTTACATAAAGCACTGTAGCACTGTCCTCCCGTTGTTCATCAGTTTCCTAGATCAGGCACCAGTAATGTCTCCATTGTGAGACTTGTTGTGACTGTTTTTAGCATATAGAATATGCCACGGGGAGCTTGCCATGCTCTGCCATCCAGGCAGAATACTCTCAGTAGCTTGCCAGGCTCTCCAAGAGGGATGGAGGTATTGAACTCGGATCAGCCGTGTGCAAGGCAAACACCCTACCTGCTGTGCTATCACTCCAGCCCAATACAATAAATTAATGGACCATTACTTGTAAACAAAAAGAGGAAGTAACCAGACTTTATATCAATAGGAGATAAGAATATAAATTACATTAACTTCAAAACACTATTAATTAAAAACAGACTTGATTAATCACTGACTTTCAGTGACATGTAATATATTGCTAAAAAGCAACTATTAGAGTGTGAATTATGAAGAAAACTGTACTTATGTGTAAGTGCAGAGAGATTATATAGGGAAAATATTTCAAGTCATACAAGAAATAAAATCTGGATAGGGAGGAAATCTATTCTATGTTCATTTATATATTTAAATTATTTGTATTAAGTTATGGACTGGAGCAATAGCATAACAGGTTGACATTTGCCTTGCATGCAGTTGACCTGGGTTCTGTTCCTCCACCATTCTTGGAGATCCCAGCAAGCTATGGAGAGTATCCCGCCCACACAGCAAAGCCTGGCAAGCTACCTGTGATGTATTCGATATGCCAAAAACAGTAACAAGTCTCACAATGGAGACATTACTGGTGACTGCTTGAGCAAATCGATGAACGATGGGAGGACAGTGCTACAGTGCTATGTTTGGAAAAATATCTTAAAGAGGTTGATAAATGATTATTTTAACAGAATATCTGGGGGTGTGGACTTCTGAAATCAAAATAATTGATGATGATGATGATGATATGATGATGATGATGATGATGATGATGATGACAATGTTGCTGATGATGTTGATGGTAGTGGTGATGAAGCCACACTTAGCAGAGTTCATGGACTACTTCCATTGCTGTGTTTGGGGGTTGCTTCTAGAAGTGCTCAGAGTACCTTGGGGCGCCGAGAATTGAAATGGAGTCTGCAACATGCAACTCAAGCTCTTTAACCCCTGTGACCCCCCTCTACAACTCTGAAATAGGATTTTTAATAGCCACACTGTAAATTCCACATATTCATGGTTAGTAAATGAGTCTGCTTTATGAGCTTTATGACCTACTCTGTTTCCCTCTAATTTTTTTTTTAACTTTCATTGAAGGTCTTATTCGTTTGCAAGAGCTCATCAAAGCTCCATCAAGGTACAATCTGCGACTTAAAATCCGTCAACTCCCTGCTGATACAAAAGATGCAAAACCTTTACTAAAAGAAATGAAAAGAGGCAAAGAGTTCCATGTAATTTTTGACTGTAGCCATGAAATGGCAGCGGGTATTTTGAAGCAGGTAATCTTTAAATCAGTTAAATTTTCAGTTCCTGTAATATATTTGTATTTAAACTATGGCCTTTTGATTTTTTAAATTGAAATGTTATTGATAGATGTTTAAAGCCAGAAAAGTCACCTTGAAGCATTTTTTAATCTAAGTGCCCAACGATTGTTTTTAATTGTCTTAAAAGAAGTGTCAATATTGATGATCTTCAAGGGAGAATATTTGAAGTATGAGGTTATCGATGTAACTTTATTTTCTATTAATTAAAATACTGATGAATGGGATAGTTATTTATGTTCTATGCAAAAAATAAAGGGAGAGACAAACAAAAGGATTCAATGATTGTGTCATTCAGCCACAAGAATGAATCAGACAAAAAGTATTTGATATTGGTTTGCATTTCAGTGAGAGTTCTTATACATCCGACCTGATACTGATACTAATTCCTCGTTAAAGATAAAAAAGAGAGTTTAAGGAAGATGAGGCAATTTAACCTATGCAGTGTGAAAAAGATAGTGTAGGTTTCATATCCTCTAGTGATGATCATAACCGGTATTCATTCTTTATTTTTTTTACCGGTATTCATTCTAAACTAAACTTTAATTTACCTAAAAGTATAAAAATATATCAAATATATCAAATGAAATAATTCATAGCAGTAAAGCAGTACTGAAATGAGAAATTATTAGCTTTTATCTTGTGGATGAGAAAATCAATATTGACGTAAAATGGCTAGTACAAAGCCATATTCTTTTTGTGAATTAAAGTCTGGATTGAAACTCATGTCAATGAATTTTGTTTTTAAGCTATTTTATGCATACTAACTGAAACCATAGTGGTTGGAGCTAGTCAATTTTCTTGAAATCTCTTATGTTTGGATAAAATTATTTCTATTAGAAATTTATATAGATTCATATAACATATTATACTCCATTAAAATATAGCTAACAATAAATGCTTGTGATACATAGCTAATTATTAAGCAGATGTCTGTTCTATCTTTCAATATAAATATTGGCTTCACTACAGAACGGCATTTCATTAGATTTGGAAAATTCTCCTAATGCTATGTTTGGGTTATTAAACATGAGGGTTGTTTATATGTGGCTTTCTGTTTTATATTTTGTAGCTTTCTATTTGAGATTTTTAGGTCAATTTTTAAAATGACCCAATAAAGTACCAAATGAAAGTAAGGGTTTGTTTTTCAACTAAAGATTCTTTTTTAGGAGTGGGTGGTAATTGGGACCACATCCTGTGGCTCTCAGAGATCATTCCTGGCAGGGATTAGGAATAAATATGATTCTGGAGGTCAGTCCCAGGTTTGCTTTGTGCAAGGCCAGCCTATTACTTGCTATACTATCACTGTGGCCTAAGCAATTATTGATCACATTGGAAAAGGAAACCTTCCGGCTGGTTTGGTTTCGTAAGACTCTACTGTTGGCCGGTGACAGAACTTTGATCAGTTTTCTCTAGGTTTCAACATGTATGTAAAGGAAAGGGCAGAGAATGTCTATCAGCTTTAATAATAGAATATGTTTTGCCTTCTACTGATGTATACATTATTTTATACTTTTATTTATAAGTGTAGTTGCTATTTGTAAATGAAAACAAAATTATACTAATAATATTTAGAACATAAAATTATATGTTAGAACAAAAAATAGATATTATATCTAAGGTAAAGCAAAGGTAAAATAAAAATGTGAAAATTAATATAGAATCTTATTAATATTATTATACCAAAAGCAAGCATATTTATCCTTCTGACACTAGCAGACCACATATATGATAATAATTTTTTTTAAACTTACATGTCCTAAAAGGCATTTGTATCATATTTGTGACTATTGTTCTAGAAATTAAGAGAGCAAATAGCTTTCTTCTATTACATTTAATAAGGCTGCATTTTATGATTTTTTAAAATTTTCTAAGATTCTTTAACATTGGCTTATGTTGGAATTAAAAGAATTTGTATAGTTGGACAGCATAGGTAGTATTCCAGAAAGTATGACTTACCTAAAATAAATATTTGGAGAATACTGGAAAAGGGATGGATTTACCAGATGAGCCTTTGTTGCTTATTCCTTTGTTTGCTTTACTTATTTGTACAGACATATTTCATTGAATACTGAGCAACAGTAAATTTGAAGTTGTCTTGTTTAGAGCTTTAAAAATGGGGAGAGTTGGGACTTCCTAAACTTTCTTTGAGGCAAATTGAGTACACTAATTAGCATAGGTGCTTTAATTAAAAAAGATTTCTCTTGTACCCAAAATTTGTTGGAGAATGTTATATGACAATGCCAAGATGTTCTGAATCAAAATCTCTTATGGATATTCTGTCACAGAAAATAAACAGTGGTCAAAAACCTGAAAGTCTAGACCAAAGAATGTAAAATTAAAATGTTCAACCTAGTACAAAGAAAATCAGATTCAAATAAACTTTACAATAGCAAGAATTAATATTCAAATTTCATGAATTTTAAGAAACAAGTGGAAGTCCACTTCTCCAGTTGTTAAAATGAGCAATTTAACTTCTAGAATTATTTGAAGATAAGCTGGCTGCATATTATATGGTTACTGCACGTGGAATTTATTTTTATATCATAGTCACTACTACTCTAGCTAAAGGGCTAAAGGTTGGGAATCAATTTTTGTGGGGAGAGGAATTTGGGACATACCCAGCATTGCTCAGGAGTTATTCTATGCTCTGCACTAAGGAATTATTCCTGGTAGTGCTCAGGGAACTTTATAGGATGCCAGGGATCGAACTCCAGTCTACAGCATGCTAGACAAATTCTGTACCTGTTGAGTGATCACTCCGGTTCTGTAGGCTGAAAATCTTTTAACAGTATTTTGATATTGAGAAATATACTAATTACATTTTCTTTATCAGGTGTGAAATGTACACACAATTATTTCAAAAATAGTAGCAAAATAATGTTCATATATACTCAATCTCAGTTTGTTGATCAACTTTTTCATAATTATGGCCTGGCTTCCTCTAAAGCCCTAGCTTCCTACTTTTCTATAAAGTAGGTGTAATAATAGTCCTTATACTTAAAAAAAATCTTTAGTTAAAATGTGCAAAGGTTTTAGAACGGTGTCTAAACATCTTGGGCTTTACATGGGCATTTTGTATAGTGATATCTCTGGGTTTCAATTTTGTTAATTTTATTTAGCTTTATTTTTATGCTAATTGATTAAAATAATGTTAACAAGTATAATCTAGAACTGTTATGGAATGGTTCTATATTTGGGAAGCCTTTAATACACACCCATCAGGAACAATAAATGCCTCTTTTTTTCCTTTTTTTTTAAAGTTTTTTTTGGCCACACTCAGCAATCCTCAGGGGTCACTCCTGGCTCTGTGCTCAGAAATCACACCTGGTGGTGTTTGGGGGACCATATGGGATGCCAAGGATAGACCCCAGGTCAGCTGGGAGCAAGGCAAACGTCCTCCCTGCTGTTCTATCTCTCTGGCCTTAATAAATGCCCTTTTCAAAGAGAGTCTTGTAAAATTTTACTTCTAAGAGAAATTATTTTGCATTTTGTATCTGAATTTTATTAGAGTATAATTGATCATATTATTTTTATCCATTGGGGAGAAAAATTTGGTGATTTGGTTCCTAAATTCTTCTACTCAGTTTTTTGTTGCAACCTTTTAATAATGCTTTTTCAACAATGCATCTTATATGCTTCAAAATTTTACACATTTACCCCTTTTTTCTGAATTGTAGAAAACTACTTTTATTGTAACTAATCAGTTAATACCAGTTCATAACCATAATTTTTTAGAAACTACAGGTAGGGTAGATAATTATACTTAATGATTTTTTAACAGCTATTTCAAAGGCATTCTCTATTTTCAGATTCTAAATAAACATTTCTTATGGCTGGAAAAATCTAATCCCAAAATCCTTGTGATAGAATTGTGAGCTAAACTTGGTGAGAAATATCAAACTGTGGCATGAAACAAAGTAATTTGAAATTGATCTATTATTAAAGTTTATAAAAAATATGCCTTTGTAATTTTCTAATAGTGATCTACATTTGTTTTTTTTACTGCTAAGAAAGCATCTCTAAAGCAATAAATCTCTAAAGCTATATATATATGTGTGTGTGTATATATATATGTAGATATATATACATATACATATATATAGCACTAGATATATACACATATAAAATCAACAACCCAAAACTCACAGTTGGTCTTGGCACTGTACTTTGCCACACATTTTTCCTAATTGGGGAATACTGTACTATTCATTAAAATAAAAGGATAGTCTTCTTTAGATGGCAGTTGAGGAGGAGAATTTACAAGTATAATAAATTTAAATGTTCTAATTTCAGATTCTTGTGACAAATTTAATCCTTTAACAGGTAAAGCCACATTTTTTTGCCACATCCAGCAGTGCTTAGGGCTTACTACTGGCTCTGAGCTTAAGGATCACTTTCAGGAGCGGAATAGACACAGAAAGATTGCATTCATCTGGGGAACATAAAGCAACAAAAAGGGAGATTAACACCCAGGAATGGCTGAGATTAGTACCAGGAATTTTGCTCCATGAATGGAAGGCCAGCCACAGGCTCTGGGTGAAAAGGAAGCTCAGATAGAGAAGAGAGTACCAAATGAAGGGTGTTGTGAGGGCCCTCCCAGGGTGGGAGAAGCATGCTAAAAGTAGTCGATAGACCAAACATGATTGCCACTCAAAGCCTCTCTTGCAAAACACAGTACCCAAAAGAAGAGAGAGAGAACAAGGGGGAATACCCTGCCACAGAGGCAGGATGGGACGGGGGGGGGGGGGGGATGAAGGTTGGAGGGGGGGATGCTGGGACCCGTGGGGATGGATGACGGGCACTGGTGGAGGGATGGGCACTTGATCATTGTATAACTGAAACCCAAGCACAAAATTTGTAAGCCTATAACTGTACCTCATGGTTTTTCACTAATAAAAAAAGAAAAATAAATAAATAAATAAAAGAAAAAAAAGGATCACTTTCAGTGGGTTCAGAAGTTATAGAAGATGCTGAGGATTGAATCCTGGTAGGCCATGTGCAAGGCAAGAGCCCTACCCGTGGTGCTTGCTCTGGCCCTGGTAAAACCACATTTTGTAATTTCAAACATTCATTTCACAGACTTTGGGTTTTTTGTTTTGGTTTGTTTTTTAGTGGTGTTGCAGGAGAAAATGCTCGGAGGCTACTCCTGGCTTAGAGCTCACAATCCTTACAGCACTGTTTAGGGGATCATAGAGTGCTAGACATAGAACCAGGGCCTATTAATGCAAAGCATGTGCTTCAGCTTTATTGAGGCATCTACCTAGTCAGTACCTAATAGGTTTCTTATCAAAATACTTTGTTCAGAAATTCTAAAATCTAGAAAGATAAATAGTGGGTGAGATGCTTGCCCTGCAGGTTACTGAGGTTTAATGGCTGACCCAGTTTTTTTTCCCTATATTATCTCCCCACTCATCTTGGAGTGATCTCTAACCATAGAGTCAGGAGTAAGCCCAGAATATAGCCAGGTATGGCCAAAAGACAAAACAGTAGCAAAACCAGGAATCCAGAGGACTTTCATAATTGCTTCTAATCTTTGAAGGTGTTTTAAACATGGTTTGATCCAGTTTTGATTTAATCTAAACATACGATGATTCTTCATCACCTTGTCTTATTAATAGTGTATTCTAGAAACTATGTACTTTCTATATCAATATTTTATATTGATTATTTATTTATTTATTTTGCTTACCAGGCATTAGCTATGGGAATGATGACAGAATACTATCATTACATCTTTACGACTCTGGTAAGTATATTAAAACAAAGGTTATGCTCTAAATTATACTTTTCAGGATAAGAAATTTTTAAGTAAGCTGAATATAAGAATAAGATGTACTTTATTTTGATAAGATCAAGGACCAATTATCATTAAAGATAACTAAAAACTTTCGGGAAGCTGATGATTTTGAAATAATACTATTTATCAATTTAAAATATTTTGTCTTATATATATGGTTTCAGAGGACTTTCATAATAGAATGGATTTTAAAATTAGTTTGCTGAGAAATCAGTATTTTAAAAGAACGCAAATTTTTATGTTGGTATTTACTTTATGAAAATAAATTTTATTTAAGTTGCTTTTTTAGTTAATTAAATTTTCTGTCCTCTTCTATACTATCATAGAATTTATGAAAAACCAATTTGACTTAATTTGTAATTGAAAAATGGATTGCTAACTTTATTATTTGTCTTTGTATACCCATCAGAAAATTTTTTTAGATTATGCAAAAGTCTAACTTAACAATGTTATCAAACTTGAATGCTCTTTAGCTTTTACTTTATCAGTACTATATTTTATTTTGTCAGTACTATATTTTATTCTTCTGTTTTAGCTGTGAAACAATTCTGTCTCTTACAAATTCTTTCTTGCTATACCCCAAATATGAGAGTATCTCATGTTTAAGCTTCCATTTCATTCCCCCCTTTTTAAATTTTTTTTTTTTTACTTTTTGGGTTTTGTGTTGGCTGTTATTTAGAGCTTCATTAGTTTTGTTAAAATGAGATCTTAATGTATATTGATAATAATCCTAAATTGTTGTATATTACTGTACTGCTGAAGACATTCTAATTGTTGTGACCTTTGATAATTTTAAGTATTTAATCTTAATATACTGTTTCCTAAATTCGCGTCCTTTCAATTTCCTCAAAACTCCTGTTTTTTTCATTTTTTCCTCCAAAACATTTCTGTCACCCACCTTATTTTGAACAACAATCAGTCCAACTGATGCTTTCTCTCTCTGTTAATTAAGAGTCTCCCAGTTAGTCTCCTCACTGAGGAGTTTTGAAGCTGCCAAATTAAATTACTATAATTCAGTTGATCACAATTACTTCCTATAATAGCTGCTTCAATGGAGATTCTTTATGCCATATATTATATTTTGCTGGCAAGTACTGAGGTTGTATCTCTACATCATTTCCGACAAGATATATTTTTTAAGTCTGGAAAAACTTAGTGATAGGTGGAGAGAAAGTGAGAGGCATGATTTAAATGATACTTCAATGTAGTCGCAACTTGTTTTCAACATAATTATAAGAATTTAGAGGAATCAAAAGGGCCTCAGGAAGAAAAATGAAAAAAAACTGATTTAAAATAGGCAGAATTTACTAGCCTGTAATTGAAGACTTTTTGTTTAAGTTTATTCTAGTTTTTCTGGTTTTCTTTTGCTGCTATTCACCTTCATGAATTTTCTTATATAGTAAACTGATACTGATCAGTTTCCTGAATAGGTTTTATGTTACCTAATCTTTGTGTGTTTACTGTCATTTTTAATGGCCTCCTTTTTCTTATCAAAAGTGAGTCCATTCTTTAACAGAAGCTCAGATCCCATCTGCTCTGTGAAGCTGAGCCGGAAGTATAAAAATGGAAATTTGGACTGGATAGAGACCTCAAAGGGTAGAAATGCACTGCTTTATACCAGGCACTGCATGGACCCCTGACTACTTCTAGCAGGGACACTGAGTTCTGCTGAGTTTGTGCCCCCCCCCCAAAAAAAGAAAGAATTTAAATAAAGCATAGAATGAAATTGAAATGCATTTGTTTTCTTTTGATTCCTGCTGCATTTCATTATCTGAGCCTTAGCATTATTGATTGGCTCCTTTGAAAAAATTATCTACATATTTTTAAAAGATAAGAAATTAAAAAATTAGATATTAAAAATGTCATACAAATATATGTTAATAGCGATAGCACAGTGGTAGGGCGTTTGCCTTGCACGCAGCCAACATGGCTGACCCAAGTTCGATTCCTCTGCCCCTCTCGGAGAGCCCGGCAAGCTACCGAGAGTATCTCGCCTGCATGGCAGAGCCTGGCAAGCTCCCCGTGACGTATTCGATATGCCAGACACAGTAACAACAAAGTCTCCAGTGGAGACGTTACTGGGCCCGCTCGAGCAAATCGATGATCAACGGGAGGGCCTTTACTTTACTTTTACTTACATAAATACAAATCCATGTTTCTATACATGGATATGTAGAGAGAGTGATATGGATATGTATAATCTCCCTGGCTAAATTTTAAACACAATAAAAGAAAAACTTAAGTGTTTCTTATATCTTTCCTGTAACATTTCACAACTCAAACCATTGTCAGCTGTTCTCCACTGAATTTTATTACTGTTACGTACCCTGTGGAGCTGTGTGAGTCCAGGGCAAGCTGTTCACAATATCAATTGTATTAATCTTGCTCAGGTTCTCCAGAGTTATTCATAAAAAATGTAAGGATTAACCATGCCAGCTAAAAAGAGAGCAAAAATCTGTATGCTATATGTTTATACAGTGACATTCAACTTGGTGGCAGTTATGCCTCCTTTATCCTGGAAAACAGAATGGCAGAGTAAGAGCATCTATATATAAATTGGAAAGGGTAACCAAAATCTCAAGGCTTGCTTTACATGATGGTTGCTAGCTATCATGTAAGACAAAGGATCATGCAAGATTTGTACATCCAAAATTTCCAGTCTGTTTTTTTATTTTTCTTCCTTTGGGGTATACTCCCAGTGGTACTTAAGGCCTACTCCTGTACTTCCATGCTTGTAATCACAGTACTCAGGACTGTGATCTAAGACATTTTGTTCTAGGGATAAAACCTGGATCCCTGCGTGTAAAGCACATGCTCCAACCTGTTGAGCTATTTCTCCAGTGTAAAACATCCATTCTTATTATTTTTTCTCTCATCTTTGAGTTCATTAGCTAAAAGGTATATTTTATACATTTTTTTTAAAAAAGCAGAGAGTCCATGACCAAATATGAAAACAGGATATATAAATATATATATATATATATAAGATATTCAGCTTAAAGTAAAATTTAATGGATGAGATTTAAAGGCATTATTTTTTATCATTGAGAATAACGTTTATGTAACTCTTAATGGCAGGTTATCATAAAGCCTGTTGTTACAATGTCAGAGCATACATAATATGTACATAGACGTGTCAGAGCAAAAGGAAACCATCTTGTATCCCTCTGAGTTTTTCAGAGGCTGGACAGATACAAACAACATCAGGCAGTTTACTTAGAGAAGGCGTAAAAAATTTTATTAATTATACATACATATTAAATTTATAGCACAGCAGTAGGGCGTTTGCCTTACAAGCGGCCAACATGGCCAACCCAAGTTCAATTCCTTCGCCCCTCTTGGAGAGCCTGGCAAGCTACCAAGAGTATCTCGCCCGCATGGCAGAGTCTGGCAAGCTCCCCGTGACGTATTCGATATGCCAAACACAGTAACAACAAGTCTCATGATGGAGACGTTACTGGGTCCGCTCGAGTAAATCGATGAACAATGGGAGGACCGTGACCGTGACCATAGGAAAATCAATGAAAGACTGGGTAGCTCACATATATGATTTCAGATACTGTCTTTAATAATCAAGATAATGCTCAGAATATCTTTGGGGTAAGAAAGGTGGGCCAACTTGGAAGGTTATCAGTAAAGGAAAAGTAAAACAAAGGAATGTAGACTTAAGTCATTTCTTCTCCTTTGAAAAGATAAGAAAAAATAGGTTTTTCTGAGAGACAGCCCTAAGGGAGAAGCTTACAAGTAGATTTTTTTTAGAAATACTTATCTCCGTCTAAGTTTTTAGAACCACTGCCATAAAAATCACATTTGCTAAAGACTTATTTTGTGTGGCAGATTATTTTCCTACACATATTAAAGTAGAAGGTACACATTTATATCAACAACTCTTGAGATCTTGAGGTGTGTGTGTGTGTGTGTGTGTGTGTGTGTGTGTCTTTGGTGATTTGTAATGTTTCACATCACTTGTCACAGTATGGTGCTATTTTAGGAGAAATGAGAATGAGTGATAATTCAATTATACAAGTCTGTGATTATGCTGTTGATAATAACATAAAATAAATTTATCTTTCAGGACCTCTTTGCTCTTGATGTAGAGCCCTACCGATATAGTGGAGTAAACATGACTGGGTTCAGAATATTAAATACAGAAAATACTCAAGTCTCTTCCATTATTGAAAAGTGGTCAATGGAACGTTTGCAGGCACCTCCAAAACCTGATTCCGGTTTGCTGGATGGATTCATGACGGTAGGAGCACTAATTTAATGATCGTCTATCTCTGCTTAGTATTGAATAAATTTTCTGGAGTGACCTTTAAGTTTAATTGCTTGTTATTCCAGGCATGATATCAAAACTAATTTTGCAAATAATTCTATATTTCCAAAATCTATTACATATAAGAAATTTACATTTATATCCAAGTATCACAAAAGCATTATAACTAACATTAGTATACTACTGTGTTGGGATTTTAAATTTTTATTAATAGCAACAAGAGGAAAATGAGAGAAAATACAAGGCTTTATCCCAAAGTTTACCCTTCTGTTTTTAACTACTAATGCTTAACCATCCTGGTTTCTGATATCTGATATTATTTAAATGATTTATGTCACAAAAACTTTCCCCTGAGTTTGTTCATTATTAAGGCTAAATTTATAATTATGAACCTTTAATTTTAAAGGTCATAGTTTAAACCTCAAAACAAGATCAACACATAAAATTTTAAAAGTTATGCACATGCTTGTGTAAATTTAGTTCTTTATACAATTGTCTTATAAAATTGTAGAATTTTACTTCTTTATACAATCGCTGCAGATATATAATGCAAAACAAATACATAATTTTTCCCCTAATAGCCTTTTAGAAAATACAAAAGGTAATTAGTTGAGGCAAAGTTGCAGTAACTTGTACATATTACTTAAACTACAATTAAAATAGACTTCTATGAAGTGCAAAACAGCTAAAAGTCAGTATTATTAATTTATTTAGCACATCAAATGGTGATTCTGTTAAATAGTCAATGTGAAAGTCATTACTGATATATCTTGCATTTTTTTTCCTACTAAACTTTTGAAAGTGTGGTGATTTGACAACACATACTAATTTAGATTAGTCACATGTCCAACACAGTAGTCAAAGGAGCTTGTTGGACTGGATAGGTTTGCATTTAAATTATAAATGCATGCTATACTCAAATTAAATTTTGTTTCTATGGAAAATAATATTACCACACTTCAGGAAATAGTTAAGCTCTCTGACAGTATTTCTGTTCCTAGGTCATTACAGTTGTTTTTATAATCATCCTAATATTTATTTTATTCAGAAGATCAAGTGGTAAAAATTTTTATATTTATAGAGACAGTAGAGAGATCCTGGTTGCCCTCAAGATTTTAACATTATAATTGAAAATATGTATGTTTTCAGTAACAATGAACCGTACTTAATTAAAAACATCTTATATCAACACGAATTTTTAAAGAAGTAATAAGAGGGAGATTTTTTATTTGCATAAAAGAGATATTTACATAGTTGTAATGTGTTAATCTTAACCTAACCATATATTTGAGAGATCATATGGGAAGAAAGATTTTAACTAAAAACACCAGTACATTTTCCCCTAATGTACATCTAATTTAAAATAGAATACAACCTAAAAAAATGGTTAATCAAATTTTGCAACTAAATAATACAAATGTTATTTAAATAGTTAAAATATGTAAATACTTTAAATTCTTATTTCAATACTATACTTTTATGTGTAATTTCTAGATTACTTTTAATTTCAGAATAAATCTTTTCAGTTTTTTTAAAGCTATTACTTGTTTTAGAGAAAGTAGATTCATTGGCACCATGACAATCTCAACACTTTCATGCCCAAATATTTTCATGATATATGGGAGTTTCTGTGTGTCCTTTTGCATATTAGAAAAGTCTTCCAACTTTATGTGGGTGCTCTGTGTTTCTTTAATATACACCTACATATACTATATATATATGCATATATAGATATATATATACACAAAAATATATATCAAGGGGGTTTTATTAACTCACATACTAGAATATTCTTTTACTTTCCATTTAATATTATATCGTAAACATTTTATAAGTCATTAAATATTTAGTAAAAGATGGTAATAGACTGTTTCCACCATGAATGAAGTTAGGAAATAAAAGGACTCTTATTAGAAACAAAGAGTTATAGTCTGGCATTGTGGTATTGGCACCATTCCCTCTAGTCAATTCATGAAATCTCCATGTTTATATATTTCTTGTTCATTTTTTCCCTTTTATTCCCATAAAGAAATGAGATTATCAGCAAAGTCCCGGGTACTTGGAACAAGACCTATTATTATCAGTATCACAGTCATTTGTCATTATATAAGATGATAGTGCTTAGACTTTCCTATTCTTTTCTCTTATTTGATCTATAAAAGGAAACAATGAATTGAATTCATACTATTTTTTTTTCTGGTTGATTTAGCACCTTAATTGGCAGCTGAGTTAGGTTTTTTCAGGTAAATGACCATGAAGTCCACTTCTGTAGTTTTACTTTTCTTCACTACATTTTTTTTTCACAACTGGATCTATGCTCTATTTATGTCTGATATAGTTATCTTCCCTCCTAACTGTTGTAATAGTCTCCTCACTAAACTCCCTTTCCTTATATCTTTTCCTATAACTAGTCTTTTTTCTTCACGTTTTCATTTTTTTTAATTGAATCACTGTGACATGTAAAGAACACGCTCTTGGAAGGACGTGCATTCACGGGGTCTCCTGGCAGCTTGCTTGCTCTCACTGCCTGTATCCGGTGCTCTCAAGTCGCTGTGTATGGACAGGATAGGGTCAGCTGTAAGCGATGGGCAGGTGAAGGAAGAATGAGGACCAGGCTGGATGCTGATTCGTTACAGTTTACTCAATCTCTCATCTCTCCAATCTGCATTTTTCCTTCCTTGCCCCGCATTCTTCCTTCCTTTCCCCACTCATCTGTCCACTCTGAGTCTCCCTGGGTCTCACAACCTCCCCTCCCCTCCATTCTCCTCCTCTACCTCTCCCCTCCAGATTCTGAAAACCCTGTTTTTCTTTCTACCCCTATTTACCTTGCCCTCCAGGCTCATGCTCCACTCTGTCTGGAAGCAAAAACAATATAAGAAACCTTTTTTGACAGCCCGTGGGCAAAATACCTCTTAAGGTGTTTTTTCTCCTTTAGTTTTTTTTTTTTTTTCTTTTTGGGTCACACCCAGCAATGCACACTCCTAGCTCTGCACTCAGGAATTACTCCTGGTGGTGCTCAGGGGACCATATGGGATGCTGGGAATCGAACCTCTGTAAGTCGCCCTACCCGCTGTGTTATCACTTCAGCCCCTCTAGTTATTTTTGTATGAACACAGTAAGCATCTAGGGCAGCTCTCCTGGGAACATCTTGCCACAGACTCAGACTACAGAATTTAGGCAGATTAATCATTCCTAACCCAAGCAGGGTCCAAATCTAATTGTTATTCTTTTGAATCATGACAGCATCTGTCAATGACCAAGCTCTTAACTTACAGTTAAGCATTAGGCACTTTGGCCAGGCCCATCTCGATGCCAGGGTAGCACATAGCTCACTGCTTGCCCTGGGTCCATTCTGTCCCTTGTTGGGACTCTGCTTTAGGAGTCCTAGGAAGTAAAGGCAGCTGAGGTTTAGGTTGAGAGAACAGATGGCCAGGAGGAAAATATCATTTAGAGTCAAATGACTTCCACATAACAAAAGCATAGCATTTACTACTGTCTTCCTGTGCCCATACCAAAAGGACATTGCTCTGAATAAACTATACAAAGGACATAAGGAAAAGAGAAAAACAATATTTACAAGTCAATGGAGCACAAAGAAAGAAGTTACAAATATACACAGAGGAAAGAAAGCACTGTGATGGGAGTAACCCAATAAACCTAAATTACCTGAGGCTAAGCAGGAAGGACAAAACAATGCTATCCTACAGTGAGATACACAGCTGCAAAGTTGTTGATGATCCTATTTCATCATGCAATGTTCCAATACTGGTCCCTCCACCAGTGTACATTCCCCTTACCACTTGCACTCCCCACCCCAAGTCAGTTCGATGGTAGGCACTTCGTTCTCTATCTCTGTCTCTCTCTCTCTCTTTGTCTCTCTCTGTCTCTGTCTCTGTCTCTCTGTCTCTGTCTCTGTCTCTCTCTCTCTCTCTCTCTCTCCCCTCCTTTTGGACATTACAGTTTGGAATGCGGATACTGAGAGGTTATCACGTTTGTCCTTTTACCTACACTCAGCACATAGTGCTAATCAAGAGTGATCATTTCTGTGTAAATGCAAAAAGACAGCAGCAGTCTATCGCTCCTGCTGCCAGTCTCACACCACTTCCCCCACCACGGGGAGGTCGATGGCGTTGGACAGGCAAAGGAAGAAACGAGGACCAGGCTGGTTGGTGTCAGTTGCAGTTATTTCAATCCTCTCTCCATTCACTCCTATCTCTTCTCTGCTTCCCCCGCTGCTTCTTCCTCCTCTATGCTACTTCATTCTCCTTCCCGATCCCCCTTCATTCTCCTTCTGGCTCTGGAATCTGATTCTGGATCCCTCAGCCCACTCTTACTGCCTATTTAAATCCCCAAACCTTGAGGGGTTGGCACTTACACATAGGTGTGGTCACAATCAATATGGGCAAAGATCTTTCCCTTGGGGGAAAGCTGCTTCTTGGACAGATACTCTCTCAGCAGGATGACCCACCCTAGAGCAGAATCCCATGGGTGTGTTTCTCTGCTCCTTGTCCAACAAACATATAAGCATTCATAATATTAATCATTTTGTATGGACACAGTAAGAAATACATTAAGCTTATAGAATTGCTTTTCTAGGGCCATCTCAATTTCAGACTACACTGCTCAGGTTAGATAGTCTTTCCTATCCCTAGCAGGCTCCTAGTCTCGTCATTACTTTTGGATCATGACAGCATTTGTCTATGAACAAGATCTTACCTTATAGTTAAGAATTGTGGCACTGTGGCCTGGCCCATTTTGATGCCAGGGTAGCTCACAGCTTGCCCTGAGTCTATTCGATCTCTTGTCGTGACCCTGCTTTTGGGGTGCTAGGAACCAAGGGCAACTGAGGCTTAAGTCGAAAAAGCAGATGCCCAGGAGTGAATAACATTCGAAACCTATTAAATCCTAAGTTACAAAAGCATAATATTAACTGTCTTCCTGTATCTATACAGAAAGGACATTGCTTTAAAGTA